TAGGAGTGGGTATTGCAGAAGCTTTCGTTGGCTCAAGGTAAGGTTTTCTCAACTCCTCAGAAGAGGATGCAAGGTAAGGTTTTCTCATCTCAGAAGAGGATGTTTTTTTCTTACTTGTGTTGAATTGCCTTTCTTTTGGCTTGTAGTGTGTGTCATGTTCCTTCTTCCAGCCGTCACTGGGTGCTGGTCTTTGGTATTTCCCATTTTTACCAGCAGTAGGCTTTACTTCTGCTGTACTGTGTGGGGGCTGCTCCAACTCATAAGGTACCATCTTGCTTACCATGGTCTCTGTTCCTCCTTGAACAGCAAGGCTTCCTGGCTTCTCTGGACTCCCTGTTGGTGCTGATTGCTTCTTCTCAGATTGGGCTCCACTTTTCTGAGCTGGGATATTTAGTTGCTTCACCAACTCCCCTGGTAAATGTCCTTGACTTTTCTCAGTCCGCTGGCAGGAATTCTTCCCTTCAGGAGTCATCTTTTCATTTTCTGCCAAATCGTTTGACGACTGTGTTTGAGGCTTTTTAGCAGTATACAACATAGCCTTCTGACCCAAAGATGCTGTTTTATTTTTTCCAGAATCATCTGGATGTTGAGTCTGGGGTAACCTCACATTACTTGAGATATTTTTCTCTTGTTCATGGTGATTTTCTTGACTCCCTAAGTTACCTAGCATCAGTTGACTTTCCTCAAATTTATTTCCCAAATTCTTTTCCTCTGGGACATCAGCCTTGTGCTTTGACAATATGCTTGTTGAAGGTAACAGATGTGTTTGAAGATTAGGATACTTCTGCTCCTGGGATGCTCCATTCACACACTTTACTTCTACTTCAGTTGATGGCATCATGGGAAACTGATGGAAACTCTCAGCGCCAAAAAACCGCTGTTTCAAAGATGGTAACTGCTGCTTGCCAAAACTGTGGCAGGGAAACCCTGCTGCACTGTTTTCCTGAGGCACGGAATAATTTGAAGTTAGAATTTGGGACTGCAGGTTATTACCCAAAAGCTTTCCTTCTGTAGCTATATTATTTTTGCTGTTTACTGCTGCAATCTTTTTGCTTTCTGTTAATTCATTTGAAACACATGATCGGGGCTTGTCAAACATAAGGTGTGTATAAGCAGCTTCAGTCAGGTTGGTTATCAGGTACTTTGGTGTTGAAGATGGGCACTGCTCTGTGTCACTGAGGATACTCCTTTCTGCTGCTCTACTATTTTTGTGTTTTGAGGATCCACTTGGTGCCAAGAAATGGTGTTTGTTGGGTTCGTGAGGGAGATACTCTCCTACAAGACTCTTTCCTTTAGTGACAAAATGTCTTGTTGACCGTATTCTGTATTCTTTCTTGTCAAAAGTATTCGACTCTTCCACCATATTGTCTTCAGGGATTAGGGTATTACCTGGAGATGGAATTGTATGACTCTTGATGCTTCCTACAGCTGTCATTTCCTCAGAGGCTTTGATTCTTGGTTTGGGTAGTTTATTTAATGAGGACAGTTTGTTCTTGCCAAAATCATGGTTGAGGCTTCCTTCAGCAGTCTTTAGGGGCTGAGCAAACTCTGTTAATGGCGGTCTTTTGTATTCTTCTTGCTCACACAGGATGTTCTTGTCCATCATGGTAAAACTCTCAGACTTCATACAATCCTTGGATGGTGCTACTAGCAATGTTGAGACACCCGTTGAGTTTCTCTCGTTGGAAGAGGGCAATGGCTGACTGCCAGAGGTAGAGCAGATATTTCCTCTTAGACTATTTTTCGATGTTGTGGAATAATTTGATGAGGTACCATTGTTATGTATCAGTATTTCATTTGATTCTGGCAATCGGTGCTTCTCATAACTGAGCTCAGAAATACTCTCTCTTGAAATATCATTATGATCCTTGAAAGTTTTTGATTTTTCAAGGTTGCATTTGTTTTCCTTTTTGCCAGTGGAATTTTTCTGAGGTTTTGGTGTCAGAACTATCTCTGGGATATTACGATCAAAACTAGCAGCACCTCTTAACGGAACAGGCTTTAGATCTGCTTGTGATCCTTGCTTTAAAGAAGTATTGAGTTCCACTGGCATCCCAGAAGGTTTGCTTGGTTTCACTGTGGCTTTGTTACCCCTTTTATTTTCAGTCATAATGGGAAACAATGTCTGCGTGGTCTCAATCACGTTCTCTCCTCCAAAAATGTGAGTACATTTGTCTTCACTACTGGATGAATTTTGTAGCGTGACAGGAGGGGGTGGCATTTCATAAACAACTGGAAGTTTGACAGTTATTTGTGGAGGCTCCATGGTAGACTGTGTTCGCCGAGCAGCCTGGACGGCTGGAGTGTTCAGTGGTGGGATATGTTCTGGTACTTTCTGTTCTGGGAAGTACTTTTGGATGACAAAGAAGGGGTCTCTTTCTGAGTCTGGTGTGCTTTCTATTTCATCCTCTGAACTGCAGACAGTCATGGCCATTTGGGGAATTTGCCCTGCTCTCTCGCCTGGGGACTCACGTGACTGGGCTGCTCTTGCTTCACTGGAATGGGGAAAATCTACACGTGAGCCAGCCTCCCTTACGCCCTCTGCAGCTATCTCTCCCCTCAGTCCCGTCATTTTATCACATCCAGCTAATCCAGTGCCTCTTTGGTTGGCTGGGTTGAGTGGCGATAACACTGGAATGTGGTCTGGAAGGGCTTTGCTTTCACAGAAAGCAGAATAGGAGTCTAGCGTGGGCAGAGAATCAGGCCCAGCACTGGGGAAAGACATTTTCAGAACAGCCTGGTCCTCCTGATGAGCTGTCACCTTGGGCATCAAGGACTGTGTGGGTTTCATTTGTCCTTTGCGCTGTCCACCAAGTGGCCCCTTTCCTGGTATTTTATTCTCATCGGGCTCAATTTCCCCTGCGTTGGAAGGCAGGCTTGCTTCTCTTCTTGGCATACTTCTAGATTTGGAGTGACTAATTTTAGTGCAGTGTGACAACCAGCTCCTGGGGCTGCAGACAATGGTGGCAATGCTGAAGGCCGGCACAGGCTCGGCCGTGCAGGCCAGGTAGCGGGCCAGGGGCGTTTTGATGCAGGTGCTGACCATGGTTGCTGTGTGAAGCACCTGGATCTCAGGCCTGTGCATTTTCTTCCTTTGCACGTTCTTTTTCTTCCGTTCCTCTTTACGGAGCAGCAGCACACTGGCCTCTGAGCAGAGAGAACTACTTTGCTCAAATTTTTCTCTCAGTTTGGACAGGACTGAGTTCTTCTTGCGGACTATCTTTGGCAAGATGCTGCAGGAGGTCTTAGGCCTCCCAGCGGCAGGCTTCTCTCGAGCTTCTTTCTCCTTAGCTTCCTTCTCCTCCGCGGCCAAGAACATCTTTAAAATGTTTTTCACGATGCTTTTTCCAGTGGGGTGGCCCCACCTGGGTTTCTCGCTGGAGAATGGCTTCTTTTCTTCGTCTGGGCTGCTTGCTTTCTCCTTGGTCTTTTCCAGAAGCTTGTTGATGGTCGTGTTCACAAAGCTTCTGCTGGGCCCCTGCTTGTCCTTGAATATCAGCCTCCCCACCTCCCGGGTTTTCTTGATGTAGGGCTCCCGGTTAGTGTTCATGAACTTGGACTGCAGAAGCTGGAACTTTGTGGGCCGCAGGTAGGGTTTCTGGGGCTGGGGCCTGCAGTTCACCTTGTTCTCCTTGCCTTCTGCCCTTTTGGCTGGAGAAGGCCCCTGAGGCCCATCTACATGGTCTGTGATATAGAGCAGCAGGCTGCTAAGGATGGCACAGACGGCTGGGTCAAAGGCCATCCTGCTGATCTTCTTTCTCAGCGCTAGTGCATCAACAGGCATCTTATCGCTGCAAATATGGCTGCTTTGGGGTCTGTAGGAAAAAAAAATTAACCGTCATATGTTTTATCAACATTTTTTCCAAGATGACTTTACAGAATAAATCCTATGGAGCAATCCCACTTTCAAAATACCCCAAAGAGCACTGTAGTCTGATAAGAAGAACATAAGATGGGAAGTCAAAAGACTTGGATTCTAGTCTAGCTCTGCCATTAACTCTGGGATGTCAGGAAAGTTCCATAGCCTCACTGGGTCATGGTTCCTTTTCTGTTAAATAGCAATAATTTCTGACCCACATTTCTTACAAGGTTTTTGGAAAGCTCACGTTAAATAGTACTGCAAAAGCACCTTGGAAAAACTAGAACTGCTTTACATACAGTCAAGAAGTAGTTGCCATTGAGTCAGCTGGGACTCACAACAACCTCATGGGTGTCAGAGCAGAAATGTGCTCCATAGGGTTTTCATTGGCTGATTTTCCAGAAGCAGATTGCCAGGCCTTTCTTCCCAGGCACCTCTGGGTGGTTTTGAACCACTAACCTCTCAGTTAGTAGCCGAGTGCTTAACGATTTGTGCCACCAAGTAACCACTTTGTATATGTAAAGTATTTTTTAAAAATTTTTAGTAGACCTATTTTGCTTTCGTAAATAGAAAAAAAGTAAGTCTAAAGATGATCTTCTCTGTATGATTCTGTGGATATCTCTGAGTTTAAGTATGAAAAAAATTAAATTAAATTAACATTGCCGTTATATTCTAACTTAGTCCCGAAGGCGGAAGGTCCCTAGAGCGGAAAAGCGATTTGAAAGCCATCAAGAAAATAACCTGGGCCCTGGGCCAGGTTAGGGAGGAGGGGACCTCAGCTGGCTTGGTGAGGAGGAATGCTTTTCCCACCAGGCTCACCAGGGGCAGGGATTAGTTACTGAGGAGGGGGTGGTGGTTCCTCCAGCAGCATTGCTGCACAGTGGAAGAAAGAGGGTCAGGGGAATGTTTGGCTTGGACCTGCCAGAATGGGCTTCCTGTGAATCCCTTTAAAAGTGCCTTCCCCAAGGCTGAAGGGAGGCCTGGAGCCCTCAGCCCCATTGAGTGAGACATCTATTAGCAACGTTACCACAAATTCCTTCACACGGCCCAGCTTTTGAAGAGACTGTGACCCTGTAATGTCGTGGCTTGGGGAATTGTGTCTTCTTTAGCTGATGGTCTTTTCTCAGCCCATGATCCATGCTAAGAAGCTCTGCTCCTCAGTAGCCTTGCATGAGGGGACGAGGTCTGCTGACTACACCGTCAAAGCTGGAGGTTTCACACTGTCAGTGGGTAGAGGGTGGAACCGCCTCTGACCTTTCTAGACGGCAATTTTATAAAGACACATCGGGATTTTTAACCCATCCATTACACTTTTTAGTTATTTATCCTAAGAAGATAATCAGAAATGTAGAACAAAGATTTAAGTACTATAAGGAAAATGCCCATAGTGCTCCTTAGAATATTTAAAAAATTGAAAAAAGAAATAGATCTGAGAAATTCTAGAATGTTTTGTTAGATAGCTTGTTGATGAACACTTAGAACAGAAAGTAGCAATCAATAGAACTAACAGTGAGAATAGGTCAGTCAAAGTGAACTTCCTCTTCCTTTGATCATAGATTTCCTAGATTGAATGATCACAATAACACAGTAGGCAAGAAAAAAAAAATTGGAAACATCCTACTTTTCTAACAACAAGGGGCAGGTTAGATAACAGCATATCCATATTTATGGGGAAAAAAGTCTACTGGCACAGGAAAATGCCCATGATATAATGCTAACTTAAAAAAGCAAACTACAAAGCTGTCTATAGACTTTGACCCAATTATGTTTTTAAGAAGTTAAACAGACACACACATAAGCTGAAAACAGACTGGAAGGAAATACACTAACATATGTTCTTTTTTTTTTTTTTTGTACATTTGTGCATTCGTCTAAAAAAAAGTTTAATTTTAGAAGCCACACATAAATGTTCTTTAAAAAAAAGGTGTTACCAAGTACTTGCATGCTTGTATGGGGAGGGGAAAATAGTAGCTACCCTCCCAGCTTGCCTTACTCCTCACATCCAAGGGATGATTAATCACATTGCAATCTGATCCGCCTCTCCCCCACCTTGGATGAATCAATCTGATCAATCCAATACCTAGGAAATGATCCCAAAGAGGGGAGTACTGCTTTCACGGAAGAAGAGGGCTGCGAATCTGACACAGGACCTCTGCTTGCCCCAGGTTCCCTGAGATAGTTCACCTTGATCCAGTGAATTCATTCAGAAAGTGGTTGTTTTAGTTACATAGAATAGTGCTTCTCAAACTTGAATAGGCATCAAAAGACCCACTGCAGGTGGGTGGAGGACTTGTTAAACCCAGATTGCTGCGCCCCACCTTCAGATTTTGGATTCAGGAGATCTGGGGTGGGGCCTGAGAACTTGCATTTCTAACAAATTCCTAGGTGCCGCTGCTGCTGATCCAGGGACCACACTTTGAGAGCCACTGACACAGATCAAGATCTTTCCAAACCTCAGACAACTGTGGATTTGGAGAGCCAATGTGGTGAATGAGATACTTTAAAACCTGAGCTCACTACAAAGCCGTAAAGTGATGTGAGTTAACAATGGCGCGTGCTGGAATGATGATTGTATAAAAACAAATGACATCTAAATCCAAGGGAGCAACTGAATCCTCTCCAGCACCAAGAATATTGAGTAACTTACTTCACTGTACTGAGTAATAATGACCTGAATGGACTCTAATTCCCATACCATGTCTCATGGCTGGATCATGGATCCCAGCCTCAGAATCCCACCCAGACCAGCCAGCATGTGACAGTTGGCCCCACGGACCCCCATACTCACTCTATTAGACCACGGAGTGGGCAAAAACTACCCTTGATTAATATGTCAAAGATTAGAGAGAGAGAAGAGAAAGCAGATTTAAATGTTACTGAGAACAGCCAGATATTAGGCTCCCTTTGGTATATCATATTCTATTTGTGAAAGTTAGTGGTTTAAGAAACCACAGCATCTGTGGCCCCTGGATTATTGCCTAATCAAGAAACATATTCATTTCATTCAGTAAAACTAGCTGGCGCCTGGCTACTACCACTGACTGCTCTGACAGGGATCATAATAGAGGGTTCCGGACAGAGCTGGAGAAAAATGCAGAACAAAATTGTAACTCACAAAAAAAGACCAGACTTACTGGCCTGACAGAGACTGGAGAAACCTCGAGAGTATGGACCCTGGACACCCCTTTAGCTCAGTAATGAAGTCACTCCCGAGGTTCACCCTTCAGCCAAAGATTAGACAGGCTCATAAAATAAAAGGAGACTAAAGGGGCACACCAGCCCAGGGGCAAGGACTAGAAGGCAGGAGGGGACAGGAAAGCTGGTAATGGGGAACCCAAGGTCGAGAAGGGGAGAGTGTTGACATGTAGCAGGATTGTTCACCAATGTCATAAAACAGTATGTGTACTAACTGTTTAATGAGAAACTAGTTTGTTCTGTAAACCTTCATCTAAAGTACAAAAAAAAAAAAACCATATTCCAGGTTCTGTTTCAATTGGGAATTAAACATGATTCTATACAAGGTTGGTGTTATGGACTGAATTGTATCCCCGAAAAATAGGTGTTGTAAATCTTAACCTCTATGCCTGTGGTTACAATCCCATTTGGGAATGGATTTTCTTTGTCATGTTAATGAGGCAGGATTAGTGTAGGCTGGGTCTTGAATCAGTCTCTTAAAGGTACAGACAGAGCAGGCTAAGCAAGCAGAGACAGGGGAAGAGAGATTCCAAGCCGAATGAAGATTGCCTAGCAGCAGAGGCTCAGAAGAGACAACGACCTTCCTCCAGAGCCCGCAGAGAGAGAAAGCCTTCCTCTAGAGCTGGCACCCTGAATTTGGACTTCTAGCCTCCTAAACTGTGAGAAAATAAATTTCTGTTTGTTAAACTTGTGGTATTTCGGTTATAACAGCATTAGGTAACTAAGACAGCTGGTATATGGATAAATTCTCTCTATATTTCCATAAGGTAATAACCCTCACTGATGACCATACTGAGTCAAGAAAGAAAGACCTGCTTTTTTGCCCGAGGAGGCTTAACTTTCCGGGACATTGTCAACAACCTCATTAGTGTTGAAGGATTTCAGGTACCTCTCTCCAAAGCCCCTGACATTTTTCTCCTAACATTTCAAGAGCAGCCTTTAAAAAAGTGTGGCAGTTGAGCACTGTGCTTTTTTAAGAACTCTCTCTTTTTTGTTGTTGTTGAGAATATACACAGCAGAACATACACCAATTCAACAGTTTCTACATGTACAATTCAGTGACACTGATTACACTCTTCAAGTTATGCAACAATGCTCACCCTCCCTTTCTGAATTGGCCCTCCCCCATTAACATAAACTCACTGCCCGCTAAGCTCCTGTCTAATCGTTGGAGTTGCTGTTGTCAATTTGATCCCATATACCCTTTGTCATCAAGTAGATTCTGACATATAGGGACCCTATAGGACAGAGTAGAACTGCCCCATAGGATTTCCAAGGAGCAGCTGGTGACTTCAACCTGCTGACCTTTTGGTTAGCAGCTGAGCCCTTAACCACTGCGCCACCATGGCCCATATAGTTGTTGCAACAACTTGTCAGTTTGATCCCATATAGTTGTTGTTGTAACAACTATATTCTCAACAACAACAACAAAAATTTTTTTTAAGTGTGGCAAAAGTACCCTCTGAAGGGGACTATAAAAAGTACAAAGGGTTGACCCATCTGGTTGAGTGCTTGGTATCATTGATTTTAGATTTTTCACATTTTTAACAACTCTGAAATAAGGATGAGTGGTATAATCTATGGCATCTTAGCATCATGGGATAGTTGAATTGGCATTATGTTTTTATTTCCCAGAGGTACATAAAACACGGGACATCTTTTAATGATGGCAACTTATGTTCAATGAAATCCAGTCATCAAGGTCAATGGTTAACATTACTGGGCACTCC